GGGATTTTGTAATATAGCTTGGAGGGCTTAAATACAATTTCTGATGCCCTTTCCATCTAAAAATGAATTTAAAGCTCCAAAAAGCTAATTTGCAGACTTTGAAACATAACCAGTTTGTAATTTGAGGATTTCATGTGCCATTCAACTGAGAAAATTTGATTATGGGTGGTTTTAGATGACACCAAGGAATTATTGTTATTCTTGTTAGGGAATAATGGCATTGGGTTATATTTTTAAATGCAGTTTTCAAAGATGCATACAAAACTAGACAGGCTTCCAATGAAGCGTCCCGGATTTACTTAAAATACTTCAACAATGAAAATATATATTTGAAATAGGAATAGATGAAATAAATGAGGTAAAATCTGGATAATTGCCAAGTCTGGAAAATTGAGAGTATAGGAATAAACTTTCTTCCTTTCTCCTTCAATGCATATGAATGTATGAGAGTCCAATGTGGCACCTACACAAGATTCCTCTTGGACCACACACACAGGCTCAACACTCACAAACTGTGTTAATTACTGATATCAGAAAGGAATGACATAAGAGGCCTTTGGGAACAGAGATCTATTTATCCTTTGAAAGACCCTGGCGCACTATAGGAGACCAGAATCAAAGGCAGAGCATATGCAAGACTAACTTCTTAATTATTTGAAAGACATTCTTTATTTTTCTGAACTCTACAAGGAAGGCTACATCACTACAGAATAGACAAGAAATAGTGGTGTGAAGCAAAGCACAGACAGACATAGTATTCCTTTGATTTCCCTTCATTTGAACTTTGAGAACATGAACGAATCATTTCCAATTTTTGTACATTCATTTTTAAATCTTAAAATGTGGATGACAGACATACTTGCTATTCCATTGTTCTTGTGAGATAATAATCAGTGGGCTGTGGGCTATGTATAAAAGCTGGTTATGAATGATAATAATAAGTATTACTTCATATAGCCAATTATTTGATAGATTTTTTTCATATCCATTTTATGGAGATTGACAGCAGAGGGAAAAATACAAGGCAATAGCTATAGTCAGGCAGGAGAAAAAACAAGAGAAATTTCAGATCCTTAGAGGAATATTTACAAATAGTATTTGTCACTCCTGCTTTCCTTGTATAATGGGTAGAGTTGTAACTAACAATACTGACACACATTTAATACTTACACTACTTTTACAGCTCTTGCCTCTTTGGAAATTGTACATTCCTACAATTCAATGCTTAAGAAATCCAGATTTGAGGCCCTGGTTATGCCACTTTTAGCCACCAAGCATTTCTAAGACTCAACGTACACATGGGTAAATAAAAGGAATTAGACCAGAAGACCTAAAAAATCACTCCAAATTTAAACATTCCATCACATAGATTTTTTACTAGGGTTTAATATGTCCCCTCAGCTTGAACCACCAGTAGTTCAGAGCAGCCCAGTTATAAGACACATGAATTATGGCTCCCGTCATGAACATGTTAATCTTTAAGATACTCTAAAACTTTATTCTCAAGTAGTTACACCATACAGTCCTGGGAAGCAATTAATCAGAATTCCTATAAAAGCTGTGCCCAACCATAAAAATTAGCTAGAGGCTGACAAACCTGAGAGAAGAACTGTCTCGGCAGTAATCATTAAGATCTCTTACTCTTTCCTTTTCTTCAAGTAATAAGTATTTGAATTTGTATTAGTCATTTTCTCACTGCTGGGACACAATACTTCACACTTGCAACTTAAAAGGAGAGAGGTTTATTTTGGCTCAGGGTTTTGGGAGATTCAGTCCATGGGCTGCTGGCTCTGAAGTAGAAATGGAATGGTGGAAAGGCATTGCAGAAGAAAGCTGCTCACCCTGGGGTAGCCAGGAAGCAGAGAAAGAAAGAAGACACTGACAAGAAGATACCCTTCCAGCTGATGGCTCCAATGACCCATTCCCTCTGATCAGGCCCTACCTCCGAAAAGGAGACTTCTAGAAGTTATTTTAGACCTAAACTATTAGAGTTCACTACTAAAGGATGCTCTTCCAGCATTCTTAATCAGAAATTAGAAAATAAAAGGGATTAAATCCATAACATAAGCCATTTTTAATATATGTATGTCACTTTTCTGATCCATGTACACAAAGAAAGATACATACGAAACCTGCATTACTGGTAAGCACAAAAAACAGGTTTAGGATTATATGTAATTGGTATTATAACAAGAGAGAATGAATAATACAGATTCTCATTCTAGTTCTCACTTTAAAATAATACTGAAAGCCAACAATATTATATACTTACAGATATTTCATTTGCAAAACAGATAAAGCATAGCCTTTTTGTGGTGTCAATGTCCCTTGCCACTCGGGCACCATGTAGGGATCACAAATTGTTTTCTAAAATGGCCTATAAAATAATTCTGGACTATGATTTTGAAAGGCAAATGAAATTTATTATTTCTAGTCTAGATTCTCTCAAATGGTCATTTATTTGTAAATAACAGGTAATAATTCTTCACTTTTCCTATAGGAAGAAAAAAATTCTAACATGAATGAAATGGCTAAATAAAACAAATGTAAGAGAATAAAAAAAGGACATCTCCTACAATATTTCAGCTATAATAATATTCATTAGGCTGATGTACAGTGTAATCACATACAATCACTTGCATCACCTCAACCGAAAGTTAGAGATAATTAGGTCAGAAATACTATTCTGTAAAAAGGATATGTGTGTCACAAAGATATGGAGCTTGGGGAAATTACTGACAGAGTCATTTATTCTCAAACCCTCACTTATTCCAAAACACTGAGCACATAGAAAGGAATGAAAAAAAAAAAAATGAGGATTGGTTTTAAATGCAAAATCTACATAGCAGAACAAGGAAATAGGAAAGGAAGTAAAATGGCCCTTGCTCCTTCACAACACTGAGATACCCTTCCCTTCACATTCACCCTAACCCGTGCGAAGAGACTGGCAAGGAGGACCCCAGGAAGGTGGGGCACTGCTTTGAGATGGGTCCCTTAGGAGCCAGGGCAGGACTGTGAGGGTGCGCACAGCACAGGAGGCCCAGCAGGGACCTACTGGAGTCAGTAACAATGTGTCATCCTTTTCCCATTTTCCCTTTTGCTACGCCTGACCTGAAAAAAAAGCAAGTTGCTATTTCCTAAAATGTCTTACTTCATCTGATGACTGTGCACACCGAGACTCCTCGAGCATAGACTACCCTGACCCTGACACTTACCCTTTCTCCCTCTCCCTTCTCCGCCCATCTCCACCACATTAATGTATCAGTATCTCAGCTAGTTTTCTATTCAAAACAAACCTTGCCCATCAACACACCTCTTCTTAGGCCTAGCACAAAATTAAATTTTCATCCACAAAATTAAAATGACCGTACAGACTTCTTTCTATTCTGCTCCTCTGTTCAACCACTAAAATTCTCCTACCCCAAATCAAACCCCACTTTGCTAAATACCTTTCAGGTATCAATTTTGTTGAGATGGATGCCTTAGGTGGCCTAGTATGGCATGAGCAACAGAGCACACCCTGCATAATTAGAAGAATTACCCATTCAGTTCCCGGAGGTATCTATTCTGTCATCATCAGACATTTCCTTTTTTCCATTCAGTGACGGAAAATCCAGAATCACTTTTTCCCACCGTGGCACACAGTGACATCTATCCCTACTTCCATCGTACATGCTCACCTAAAACACAGACTCTGAAAGGGCTCGCATGTTTCGGTAGAGCTGTTTACAACATGAGATCTGACTTCAAGTCTCACGTTGATAATAAAGCTCTCACGAATCCTCTTTTTGTCTGTCTTCCCAAAGGAAACTATAGTCCAATTAGACTTCAAGACCCTATACCCCTTAAAGTATACACCAGGCGCCATCAAAACACGCTTCCTGCTCTTTCTGTTGTTGCTACATATTGCCAGCAACTCACCTACTCCCTAGTGCGTCCTTCTCCATCTAAAGGTATAAACACACCCTTCAGGGATAACAAAGCTACAAAAGAAGTAAAGAGCACAACAGGTGGAATATAACCCGTTGTTGGGCTGGGGATATACCTCAGCGGGACAGCACCTGCCTGGCAAGTGCAAGATCGTGAGTTTGGTTCCAGGTACCACACACACACAAAAAAAAGTTGTCTTCTCCACTGACGATTAACCTTCTCCTCACTGGGAGTATCTGGCTGCTTAATTTTGCTTCTACCCTTGCAGAATGGGTACATTTTGTCAAGTGAATATGGTTTGTCTTGAGTGTTCAAAACTGGAAGGAATTATACGACAAGAGATTAATTATTCTAGGATACACTGATTTTTTTTTTCTTTTCTCAAAATGTAAAATCATGATGAATCCCCTCTTAGTTACTTGGTCATTATAATCCAATTTGCATAAATCAGTCTCCACCTAGAAACCTGAAAAGAAAGAAAAAATAAAAATAAAGTCTGTCTTCCAATCACCACTTACAAGGCATGCCTTCTACAGCCAGAGCACCCAAACTGCAGAATCAACCCAAAGTAAGAAGGCACGTTGAGCCCTCACCGCCAATCACCTTTTACCACACTCACCGCATCACTTTCCCTTTGCAAATCAAGCCGACCAGGACAAACATGAGCCAAAGCAGAGGAAGTATTAAAGAAAGCAGACAGTCCCCTGGTGACCCCACTCCCACTGCCCCACCCACTTCCAACTGCTGATTTAAAAATGAGACTCTGTGGTCACATACAACTCTCCTACCTATCCAGCAAGTGGCAAGAGCTCCTAGGCACTGTAGCTCCTATCTGTTCTCTTTTTTAACCCACCTATTCTTTTCACCCCTCACAAGACCCTAAGAAGTAACTCAACATTCCCATTATACAACTGAGAAAACTGAGGTCCTAAAAAGAAAGCAATCCCAAAAGATATCACTCAACTGTTATTCTGCACAGACCATACTAAATTTTTTTATAAATATTGTAAGCTACTGAAAATCATAAAGACTGTCTGGTTTGAGACAGTTAAAAAATTTAGAACACATACCTGTTTTTTCCTTGAATTTGCTTTGGGAAACAGTCCTGCTGACAGCACGGATGTAAATGGAGAACAGCATAGCTCAGGAAAAGGGTTTGGAATAGACGGCATTTCCAGAACATCAAGATCTTTCTTTTTTCTCCTACACCAAGGGAACATAGGATGTAATTTACATAAAGCAGCATGTAAAATATAATTGCTGTCAGGATTAAGAAACGCTGTTAAAGCCAACACACACCACTCAGTAACAATGCTAATATAAAAAGTGCAGAGGAAAGGCCTGTGGGGTACTTTCTGTGGATCAAAATAAAATATGCTACTCGGTATGAATGAATCCATAGCGTTCCTATCTCTATTCCTTTTGTTTAACCTGTAAAAAAAATCAGCAGGTGTGAATACCCCAGTTCCTGAACTTTTGATAATTTTCCTGAAGCAGCAGTGTGAACTATTATTAGTGTAAAAACTATCCTGAGGATTTAGGTATCATTATGCATCTATTAAATCGACAGAGTCTTAGAGTCACAGGTTAGTGGCTTCACCCCTCTGAGACTGTACAATCGCCTTTGGAAGTTATGGTTTATTAATTATAGCTGTGGTTCATCTCACTTTAAATTTCATTCACAATGTTGCCCACACACAGTCTGCTGGTTTTTCAAGCGCTCATAGATACGGAACAGCAAGGCAATGTTTTTAAGGAGGTGAGCTAAAAGAACTTGCTGGTTTAAATGTACTCTAGTCCACTGGAGGGTACTTTAACTTCACTAAAGAAGCACGCTGAAAATCTGAAGGAAAAAAAAAAAAAGTACTACTTAAACCTGAATATAAAGGGCCACCGATTTTTGTGCTAGTGTAGTCTTTTCTTTCCTTGAGTATGTGCAACTCTAAAGGCACTTAGCGCTGAATGCTATGGAGATGGGGAAACCTTTTAAAGCCTCCATTCTTTCCCGACGAACACTAAAGACTGCTCAAATGTCGATCCACGCTCTGCTTCTCCAGGTCGCTGTGAGACTATGTGGGTAGCGAACTCATCTACACTTCGATTTTTTAAATACATCAAACAAAAACGACTGTTTATTTTTCCAACACTGCAGGGCCAGGGAGGAGCAGCGGGGGGTGGGCGAGCTGGAGTTTGGCTCCTGGTTCACCCCGACGGACAGAGACGGACAGAGGCGACAGAGGCAGCGCGCGCAAGGGACCGGGGATGCTATTTATAATGAGGCGTCGCGAGATCGCAATGTCCCGCCGCTCGGCAGAGCCGGCTCAAAGGGAATTGTCTTCCGATACTTGCACAAACTTGGCCGGCCGGGGCGCCGGCTCAGCCCTAGGACCGCCCGCACCCGGCCGACCGGACCGGCGGGGCGCTCCCGCCCG